AGTCAATGACGGAACACACGCTGCGCGCGCTTTAACTGCAACTCTCCACCATCTGCGGCGCTCGTATTCGCTCTCACCTGCAGCGTCCAGTCAATGACGGAACGCCCGTCGCGAGCACTTCACCTGCAACTCTCCACCCTCTCTGCGGCACTCGTATTCGCTCTCCCATGCAGCGTCCAGTCAAGGACAGAACGCACGCTCCGCGCGCTTCACCTGCAACTCCCCACTTTCTCTGCGGCGCTTGTATTCGTTCTCTCCTGCAGCCTCCAGCCAAGAACAGAACGCAAGCCGTGCACCACTTCGCCTGTATTTCCCCATCTTCTGCGGTGCTCGTACTCTCTCTCACCCGCACCTTCCAATCACGGATGGAACGCACGCCGCGCGGACTTGCTCGCTGGATTTCGTGCCGATCGGTTGTGCCCCCGCGCGCGATCTCCCACGACAGCGCTGCTCTGACCGACCGGCTCGCCCTCCGCCATCTCCTGACGCCGTGAAGCTCTTGCCGAGTGGTGCCCCGTCCTCGGACTCCTTCGACCGTGTCCCCATCTTTCTCTATTTTCTCTTTACTTCTGTATGTGGGTGTCCTCATCTCTATCTCTATACTTTTTAATCTCTCCTTACCTCCATCCCTCGTGAGCTACTGATGAAAACAGTTACGGGGCTCACTTTTATCTTTTTCTCTATTTTAAGAATCCCTTACACGCATGCCGCATGCGCTTCACCTGCATCTTCCTACTTTCTCTGCGGCGCTCGTATTGGAGGTTTATAACAGCGCAACGCAAAGCATTGCGTTTTCTGTTGCACATGCGTCGTACGCCAGTCTTTTGTGGGCTCCCGTTGAGTGGCGAACGTTAACGATACGCTAGCTACGCCCGCAACGCCCACAAGCTTTGCATGCGGTATTCTAAAACTCTGTTCTCAGTATTATCTCTCCCCTGCCGCATCTAGCCAAAGATGGAACGCACACCGCGTGCACTTCACCAACTTCGCGCCCTCCCTGCAACGCTCCTAATCAGGTGCCCGTGCGCGCGCCGTCTCCCCAACCATCAAGCGCGAATGCGACATCTCCATGCAATGCTTCTCACGATTCCACAGCGTACCATACGCGTGATATAATATAATTTACCCGCACATGACACCACCACGGCGATACCGACGCTGTCGTGATATGTTAGCTTGCAGTGGCTATAGACACTTTCACTGTTTTCAAACAAAGGCCCTTGATCACATCCGGTTTCTTTCACCGATGTACCTTAATAGCATTGGTGGGTAAGAAGAGCTTTAGAAGATAGCCTGCTGATTTTCTAGTTTCCTTACCTTATTTGGCAAAGTATTTTTATATAGATGTTCTTTTGAGCTACATAAATGTTACGAAAGATTTCCTTGAACTTTATGCACGTTACTTTTATCTGACAAACTAAACATTGACTTTCTTTACTCTTGAAAAAAACTTGAAAATGGGCTTTCCGTTTCGACATTAGTAGCTATTAAATGAGGTGACCGGAAGCTCTTTGGGGTACAATGCTTGCAATCTTGAAATCCTCTATAATTGTTATAGCAATAAAAAAACATTTGCAGTTTCACCTTGCGGCAGTGACGGCCATACATTTTTAGTGAACAGCACAAAGTAACTAAGTGCATGCCGTTGCTTTTTGGCAATATATATGGCAATAAACACTTCAGGGCTTTATAATTCATTTAAAACTATGACGTTGTGTGCACACAAGCAAACTTGAACAGATCACACACGGGTTGGCTTGATGTTTTTCACTGCCTACGCCTCCTGAACAGTATATTAGGGTTTCTAAAGTATGCAAAATCATTTTGAAAGGTTCAAGTTCTTCTGTAAAATTGTCTTGCTTTGAGTATTTTTACTGAATGCTAATTGTATTTAGCAAGATATAATTCACAGGTCGTGTGAAACTGGCCACCTGCATATGGCTCTCTAAGATCAGTTACCCATGTAGTGATCAGTTGCACAAGAACAATCTACATGTGTTCCGTGATAGATCTGTTTGTACAGTGAACAGAGATCTTCTGCTGTTTTACACATAAATATCTGTAAAGACTACTCATTCACTGCATTGGTTCACTTCCCATGAGAAGCACAACAATCTTTTACTATTTTTTATTGTTTAAACTCCGCTGCTGTATTCTTCAAAAAATGATCAGTTCAGTGTGGTAGTTCATTATCCGCGTTTTCCACAAACTGTATTCTCATAGGAAAGAATGTTGGTAAATGTTTTATCAAGCGGCTGTCATCCCACTTAATAATCTGCAAATCACATGTGTAAGCTTATATATTATTGTTATAGGTATCACAAAAGAAAGATAAAACTGTTGTATGTAGTTTAGTAGATATAGCAGTGGTTCTCAGCCATGTATGCTTTGAGGGCCCTTTATGCTCTGATGGAAGTGATGTGGGACCCCTTGAAGAGAGAAAGGGGGTGGGGGGTGATAAATTAACACAATATGCAGAGCAAAACAGGCGTCTTTTGTTCCTGTCTAGCAAAGAATGGCCATACTATAGTGCCATGCCAATTCGATCTCAACAGCTAATCAATAACTTGTGCGGTCAACAGCCGCATTCACCCTATTTCTCAATATGTTTGCTCTAAAAATATGCAAGCCAGGAAAAAGCATGCTCGCATGCATATGTCGCAGACCACTGTAACAAACAATCATCTCATGAAGATGGGAAGTGTGAGTCAGCTTCGCTGCAGTGCAAAGTTTTATGCGATGAACCATAGCAAATGTCTGAATGGTCCACTGCTATCGGACATAAGTGTGCCGGCAAAAAACATACTTTTTGTCTTTTTTTGCAAGGACGAGTTTCGCGGACCCACCGAAAGTTACTTCATGGACCCCCGGGGAATGGAGAGATACTGGGTTAAAGCATACAGCTCATGAACACAGGGATACTAATTCAAACCCCATTCCAGGGAATGCTCTTTTTATCCCAGATTAATAATTAAATTTACAGTCATATGAATATCAACCATTATTCATTATAATATAATTCAATTATGATTATCAGTATTGTGTTGATTTTCGAGAGTACATAAACCTCCAAGAAAGTTTTGCAAGACTTCCTTCAAGAAGGTTTCAAAACCATAAAAGCATTGTGTTAAAACAACACTTAATTTACAGCTTCCTTTGAAATTAACCTTAGGTTATTTTAATTTAGACAATCTTTAGCTATTTCTGTGTTTCATAAGTTGGGCTTGGTTTATCGTGGTCAAACGAAAACACACCATGTTGTGAAAGGGCACTGAAGTTCCGGCTGCAAACGAGACTCAGCCAGATTGTGCTGCACAGAATCCACCACTCCTCTTTGTTACATGCATGTGTTCTGCTTTACAGGAATTGCTATTATGTCATTCATTTTAATGGCTGCCTGTGTTCGTTACAGGAATCCCCAAAGTGCTGTGTGAAAAGCCTAAATTAAGTGACGCATAAAATAAGAAATATGCTCTGAGGAGTAAAAACTTGGGATTCGCATACTTTTGCCTGGGATTTTGCCTCGGCTATTCCACCATAATGCTGCAACATAGAACTGCCTCTGAGCTCCTATGCATAACACATGCTTCGACGTAATTTAGTTCAGCTCCCTACCTTTCCTATATTCCTTCTCCACTTAGCTGCACACATAGCTCCACCTCCACACTTAAAGGCACTCTAATGTTGGCATCTCTACTGTAATTTAATATCTCATAGTTATGAAGGACATCTTTACTTTGAAATTTTGTTCTTCTTGAGGGCAGATCGATTGCACACATATGTGCACATTGTGTCAGCTATCGTGTCACTGTTTTGCACTATAAGTAAAACTGCGACTTCTTCATTAAAGTTATTGAAAACTAACAGACACTGTTGACAATGTCTAACAAAGAAAACAACCTCTTAAATTTACACTTCTTTCCTTCTTGGATAAATTGTGACTCGGAGGCTAGAGAACACGAAATTGTCAGAGTCAGTCATATTGAAAAGGGCTTATAGCAAACAAAATATTAATGGTAGAGCAGCTCTCATCCTGTCATCTTCCTTTTCTGATAAGGCATATATGGTACACCCTTTAAATTCTTCTATACAGGAAGTATGATCCAATAAGCACACATTGCGACATGCTCGGACCACACACTTTGCATATGATCCTGTTATGGTCAGCAAATGTAGCACAAAAATGTTGACAAGGCCATTTAGTTTGCTGTAGCTCTATTTTACCTGAAAAAATTTATTGGGCATGTCACTTGCATGCATAATGCCACAAGGCTATGAGCAAAGTAACAAAACACATGAAGCTACACCACTGCATTGCAAGCCACTGCACCTGAACTACACATCACATGTCCTTCTATGCATGCAGTTTAAGACAGCATGGGTCAGCATGCAAAATTAGCATTGTTGAGTATGTTTCCAATACTGCATCTATGTACTACTGGCCATTTTCAGCTAAACTTTTATGCATTCAAGCTGATGAAATATGGAAAAAGTGGAAGGACTTTCGTTCCAGATGTTCATACAACTATACTGCAAACAGTTACCATTTGTGGCTAAGTTGTCCAGTACAGTTCATTATGCCACGCATTTAGATACTCTCAGTTCCCAAAGGCATTGCAGAGTAGAATTTAACAGAGTAGTATATCTTTCACTACCTCCTTAAAAGTGGCAGAGTCTTGGCTAGCGGTAATAGAGGGTGGAAGATAATTCTCTGTGTTATTTAAAACAAATGAAAATAAAAAGAGAAATGACAACTACATGTATATGACCAAAAAATTTACCTTGAAATATTATTGTTTCATGGTATCATATAGAATAAAGCTTATAGGCATATCACTTTGAAATGTATTTTATGGTTGCTTATTTAAATGATACCGATTCTCTCTTATGCAAATTGTTTTTCTCAAGCCATCAAGGGTATTGCTGTGGTGTAACACAGCCAAAAGGTAGATAATGTATCTGATGTACTGCTTCAATAACAGCTACACTCTCCATTTCAGAAATGAACCAAAGCCCATTCTTATAAGTTATGTACGAGCTGAGACTGCACAGCATGCTCTGAACCTCAAGCAGGAGTTACACAAAATGAACTTCAGTGTATACCTCGTGAGTACCAAGTTACACATTATTTCTTTATTTTAAAAGAAGTGACTTCAGCATTTGTAGTGATGCTGTATGTGTGTGATCTATTAGGACATCGATGAGATCAAGATTGGAAGTGATTGGCAGGATGCACTCAATTATGCAGTGAGTGAGTGTCACTTATTTGTGCCTCTAATCAGTCCCATGTATGGCAAGACACAATGGACAAATCGAGAGGCAAGTATTTATGGCAAAAGCATGCTATGTTGCTTAATATGTATACATATTTTAACGGCAATGTCATTTTCCTCTTCAGGTCAAACTAGCAGACGTGCTTCACAAAGTGATCATACCTGTAAACTTCCTTGAGACCTGGCCACCAGAGTGCCTTGCTATTCAATTTGCATCTACGCAGTACATAGCGGCTTGGAAAACTTCAGAACATGAAACAGGCCAGGGCAAGCAGAACCGGCCAATGGATCAGTGCCCTGATCTTGCAGCACCTACTGCCTCTACTCCCACAGTAGAGGGTTATAAATATGACTACAGAGTGTGGGATGAAACTAATTTAAAAAGAGTTGCCAAAGAGATTGCTGAACGTTACAGACAGACAGTCAAAAAGGAACAAATCGCGGAACGTCGAAGCAAGACATCAAGCCTAAAGGTAAGGCAGAGACAGTTTTGTGTTCTGACTGTGCCCGACATGTTACTTTTTGGTTTCAGATCAAGCGAACTTCGCACTTAAGCACTCTTGCCACCGTTGATGAGCAGTCAATAATGCGAGTTGGTTCTTCGTCAGAAGCAACTGCTGCCCTTTCTGCAGCAGAGCCGCTTGAACCTGTGGAGACTAAGGAGCTCATTGTGATAACAGCGCATCCAAAACAAAAAGAGATGGTAGGCATGCTGCTCATCTGCTTCTGTAACAATGTTTCCAAATGAAATGGTTCCTTTCTATTGTAATAAAATTGTTCTCTCTGTCACAGGCACAAGTTATTGCAAGAATGCTTGAGCAAGATGGGTTCAGAGTCTGGAGCACAACAGAACTGAATGAAACTAGAGATAGCTGTTCAGACACAGAAAGCATTCCTACCAATCCTAACACACCTAGGGAGCTTGCACCCATTCCAGAAGGTGAGAGAGTATTCAGCGACACATACAGAGATGCCAACAACCGCATCCTTGAACACAAGCGGCTAAGTTCACTTAGAGAGCAAGAAGCACCTGGTAAGTTAGGCCATCTGCAAGAGACTGCCCATTTGACTATCATTACCTGTTCACCTCTCACAAATGCAAACCTTCCTCTTCACAGGATATGCCACATATTCTGTCACAGAAGGCCGTTCCGTGTGCCGCCTGACGTCACAGGCTAGTGACGCAAGTGTTGTATCTATGCTTGCGGGAGAGAAACTCGAAAAGCTGACTAGATTCCAACAAAAGGCTGTTCAGGCCAAAGTTGTCATTGTTTTGATTACAAAAGAATTCACAGCATCACGCACCTCTGAACAGCAGGTAAGTCGCAGTGCCCAACAATACTTTCCACAGCACTAACGGAGAGCCAACTTGCTGTTGCAGGTATTCTACATTGAACACAGAAAACATGTAGTTTTAGTCAAGTGTGATGACTGCCCGATTCCATGCTGGTTTACATCACTGATGGGCAATGACATAATTTCGGTAAGTAGCTGCTCACGTTTACTGTTAAGTGCCAGAAGTGTTTAGAAAGCTAGGATGAGCTAGGATAATTCTCTTGTTGCACAAAAGGACAAGAAAACACAAGACTTTATGCTGACCCTCAACTGAAGATTTTATTGAACGAAATGCGTTTTAGTTATAGCAACACAGATAGAAGCCAAAAACATGTGGACTGATACAAAGGTTAATAAAGCATAAAATACAACAGAAAGCTAAATATACATCTTCAGTTGAGATTCAGTACTCTCCCTATTTTTTCATCTTTATCCTATGGTGGTGCAACAGAATTTCTTTTACCATACCAACTTGGCCAACTATCCATCTTATCGCCAGTTACTCTGTTTTCTATAATTACCACTTATTAAAATAGCTCCCCTTTGTTTCTTGTTGGTTCCAAAGATTCCTTGACACCAAGTGTAGCTGTTATAATAACTGCACCAAACAAGTAGTTCACCACGACATTGACCTGCTATAGGTGAAACTTGACTGCAAACATTCAGTAATTGGTTTCTATGCTTCCCGAATTGAAGGAGACACATTATAGTCTTTTGCACTGCCTAAAGGAATTGCAAATTCTCTTAACATACTGTAATCAGATGCACATCATTTTGCAGCTTTCTTATGGCTCCTGGATACAGTACGCTCCGTTAATTTTGGATTACAATCGTGAAAAAAAGACATGCTTCCGTCCAACAGTATCGCCAACACTTTGCTCGCATGGGATGGTGCCTCATACTGCCTTGCCATTCCTACTTGTAGCGTCCTTTAAGTAATGCATTGAAAATAAGCCTCTTCACACACTGGATTAGTCACATAAACTTCTTGACTGTCAATTTCCTGTACTAGAAAAAAGTGCTCTGCTGCTCTCATGTGGTTGGAAACAGTTGCACATTTATGGACTTTACTACACATCGCGAACCATAATCAGCGGTAAAATTTACAAGCAAGCGGTTGTCGGCACAGACTGTGCACAAACACAGCTTTTCATGGGACCTGTGCACTATAGACTTCCAGCACTAAAATACTTGGATGCACCTCTAGAAAAAAAGCGTCTTTTTGCCATCAAAGAATCAGCTTTCAGGTGCTTTGTGACGTGCTTCGACATACTGCTTTGCGGTTCCCCATGCGAGCGCAACACAAAGGTGGCCTGCCACGGGCTAACGATGACACGGCAGTTCCATTGGCTGGAGAAGGGTTCTTTGACAGCAAAAAGCCATTTTTTTAAAGCTGTATCACAGTATAGCACTACTTACACAACAATGCGACGTCGACTCTCGAGCACTAACGTCACAAACTTTTTCTTTCTGCTTGATCTCGCAGGCGAAGTCTTTCATTAATTCACTCTACATACCTTATGTGAAATCATATGAAAGTTATTTAAGGTGATTATAACTACAGTTAGAGGATGATTGTGGGAAGTTAGCTACAGTTGTCAAGTGAAAACAAAATTTTTAAAGATCAAGCTTCTGAAGCAAGCTTCTCAAAACCTACATGCAGTCCATAATATTTCTTTCCAGAGAGACAACCCGGAGTTTGAAAACATACTGAGGATTCGAATAAGGCGTGCAACAAGCCCTGATACTTCAGAAACGCCAAAGGATGCTGCTGCAGAAGCCACAATGCAATGCCTGGTGAATAGCATACATTTTAATAGCTTGAGAGGAGATGCTACTCGAAAAAAGAATTTTTTTTTCCAAAATTGCATATTTTCTGTTTTTACTTGCTTTCACAAGTTTAGTGTGTCTACTTTTATGACAAAAAAATCAACATTGTAGTTAAACTCGAAGTAGGTTAAAACCACCTTTAAAGTGCACAAGGAGGCTATCAAACACTAAAAAGAGCTCATTGTCCAGAGTCCCCTGAACATTGTCAGCAAGCTGCTTGCCATCGCATTTTGCATGAAGAGTTCACTATAGACTAATGCTTGAAATAACTATGATTCCCAAGCTATCATGGTGGAAGAAATCACTTTTAAAAAGAAAATTTTTGCACACAGACAAGCTTTCATTTCTACATTTAAGATGCAATTTTCTCAAGATGCAATTCTTGGCAATGCATGTGTTTGGACATCATGTTTCTGGTATTTCTGATGGTAAGAGCAGGAAGAAATTTTTAGCACATATTTCCTAACATGTGAAGAGTGCAGTTATCACCTTTAAAATGTCATATTGCTTATATAAATATTATAGACTTATATTAAGCAATTAGTATAGATTAAACATTTTAAAATTTCTCTCAATTTTTTTATTCATTTAAATGCTTTAACACACTTTCCTGATAGTTATTTGCATTCTACAATTATTGTAAAGCAATGCAAGCCATTAATAGCTTATAATTATAAAAGCTAAGTCACAGAAAATGTCTGTCTAAAAAGAGCTATATCTTACACATAGTCATGATACAAAACAAAAACTATGTCACTTACTATAAAGCTGATTAGACATTTGAAACCAGTATAAAAACTTGAGAGTAAAAATTTCATTGCCCTAGGCTGAAGTTAAAGATTTTTCTTTTCTTTTGTCGAGTAGCATCTCCCCTCAAGTCACCACTGACAACAGTATTAATGAGAACAGACAATGCCTAGGAAAGTATAGGAGATGTTAGTAGTAGTAATTGCAATGTAAATTTGAAGAAATAAAAATAGACAATAAAAGAACTTGCCGCTTGCAGGGACCAAATTCGTGACCTTTGAATAATGTATGTGATGTTCTGCCAACTGAGCTACTGTAGCAGTCATCCCGTAGTTCACTTTATAGGTTATTATATAAGTAAATTTCGAATGCGAGAGTGTAAGTCAGTGTCTTTTGTAGCCATGATGGCAAGTGTGGAATAATCTTTCTCTACCTGTTGGCACCGCATTGCACGTGACCCTAATACGAGCTGGCAGCTGGCCGATCCCTCGCAATAGCTGAAGGTCGCAGGTGTTAGGCCCTGCCAGTGGGAAGTTACCTTTTCATCCACTTTTCAGTCTTCACATTTACATTACGATTGCTACTAATAACATCCCCTGTAGTTTCCTAGGCACCATTGTCTGTCAGTTCTCATCAATGCGACTAAGAATAACAAGTGCTTAAATGTTTACTTTATTCCATCTGTCAACAGTATGGCCTGACATATACATATTTCATTTCTGCTATTTTCAGGTCAGCTTCATCAAGAAGGAAATCCCAAATCTGGAAACATGCGTGTACATTGCTGGGAGTAGCAAGCTGCAGTCTGCAAGATCAGTCGAAATATGCAAGTGCGTTACACCATTTATTTCAGTCATACACACCCAACAAGTAAAGGAAGAAATGTCATGGGAACTGAAGAACTGTTCACTGTGCTTGCAAACGTTCAAGCAATTGTGGCTTTTTTTATTAAGTCACAATCTCCAGATGAAAACACATGCCTTTCAAACTTAAGAGCAGTCATACATGGTGGAAAAACCCAAATTTCAATAGAAATCCCCATAAAAATGCAACAAGTAAAGAGGAAAATGCCCAATGAAGCAACAACAGGAGTGCACGGTATCATTCCAGCCCACCATAGCTGAGCTTCTGCTGTCCTGGACAAGTAGTCCTAATTGCTTACATCTCACAAAAGTCTCTGGTGTGCTGTAGTCATTGCTTCAAAGGTGGCTTTACCATTCCTCACCAACATGTACATAGAACATGTGCAGAATCAATGGACAAGATTCTCACCAGTGAAATAATAACGTAGCATACCATGGACAGAAGTACTCATTTAGCAAAGTTTTTAAGAAATCCCTAAATAGAAGACCATAGGTATGATGCCTTGTTTGTTTAGCACAGCCAATGGCAGTGACTTTTCCAGTGGCCTGTTTTCAGCAAGGCAATAATATACACAAAAATACCCACATCAATTATATGTTTTTCCAGAGGTCCCCTAATTCTTCAAATAGATGCTGTCTAAACACACACAATACGTACAGGGCATTCTGCTGTGCTTCTTAGCGGAGCCCTGTACCTGAAAATGCAGGGTTCATTTTACATGACGATAGTTATAGCGCGAAAACAAAACGACGACACAGAGACAACTAGCCCAAGCTGCCACACTTCATTTTACAGCCTCAGTCAACACGATCATCTGCCAATCGGCATGCGCTCATTGACTAATGCAGCCGGAAAGGGCTGTGCTAGCTTACTTATAAGTGCATTCATATGTGCTTGCCTAGACAACGAAAAAATGCAATATGAAGAAAGTTTTATAAATTCCCATTTCAATTAAGTAAGTACAATAAAATATAATAATTCAGACTAACACTGTATTTTAACACAATAAAAAAACAACAAAAGCTTTACATGGGCCACAAAGATTGACAGTGAACCAATCACTAGTACATTTATGTTCCAGTTGCACAAGTGTGACACATTGGTCTTATCAAGTCACTCACTCTTAAATGCTATGAAACACACAGCAGATTGACATTGTCATCCATGATGAATAACAAACTTTTCTAGAATGTCAACTGTGCACAAACTGTTGCATTTATCTTATTTTCCTCATAACGAATGTGTACTTTATCAATTTACTGAGAAGTGCAATGTTTGTGCATCAACCATGTTGCATCACCAGCTTCTCATTGAACTCAGCCTCGGTTTCATTAGTGATAGATAACCCCCTCACCGAATCGATGAAGCCTGCAATTAAGTTGTTGCTGAACACAGGAACTTTTAAAGTAGCACTACCACACTATGAGTCATTTCAACTAGCACACAATTTTGCTGCTCTAGCCAACAAGAACACATAGCTTTCAGGTGGTGTGTCATGAGATGAAAGCATGAGACAAAGGTCAGACTGTGGCCCGAATAAAATGCATGTGTCTTGTGCGTATGTACAAAGTTGCTGTACCTGATCTGCCGTAAAGTAGGGCATATAAATGATTCAATATCTCTCATGCTCTTACAAGAAAAAAAACAAGGAAAACTGTCATCTTGTGCATCAGAGCAGAGAAATTAGAAAGACTGCATACTAATAACCACCGTTTGGCCCACTGTGACAGTTTATATCCACAAACCCTCATAATACATCCTTAATTTATAAGGATAGCAAGAGACAATAATTTTGATCACTCAATAGAGTAAATGTGATATCCCTACCAAACAAAGTAAAAGACTTTTGTTTTTATGTCAAACTTGCTTTACTAAAAAAAAACTGCTAATAAGAACTGGATTATGGAATAAACTGGTACATTTGTTACATGCATAAAATTCAAAAGGCCAGACAGCTGCACTTTTTATACTAGACCAGTGAAAGGTTTTACTAGAGCAGTAAATGTGTAAACAAACAGGACAAACATATTGATGAAAAGAAAGAGGAAACAGCAAGGTTACTGAGTACAGTGACCAGAAGTGCTGACCACACACAGACACAAAAGGTATTTCTTTTTAAATGCTATAAAGTTTGTATCTTTAAACAAATATACTATGTCAATGGCATAAGCACTGTGGGGTGCAAAATGCAAAGGTTTATCAGAGAAACATGTGCTCATATTTTTGCGGCTGTGAGTAACTGGCAGGTAGTCATAAGCAAAAACAAAATACAGACACATGCAAAAAGCACCAAATCCACCTGCCATGTATAAGTAGGACCCACTTCCACTAGTATGAAACTGAACACTGTTTGTCTTGTTTGTCTCAGATTGAATTTAATGCTGCATCTACCAGGTCCGCCTGATATCCACAGCCAATTTGGCTAAGTTTGAATGCCCTATGCTAAATGAGTCGGCTACATCCACACATGCTGCAGCACACAGTCCAGTGAAAGCCAGGTCAAAATCTGCAAGCTGTAGGCTGCCTCAGCTTTAGTTTGACAAAAATAGTACATGGTAATAATGAACATACACACCAAATGTACTCTGCTGATCGCAGTTAATTGCACCCACACTTGCTACAATGCTGGAAGTTACAATATCCATTACAATGCTTTTGTTACATATAGTAGTGCACACTCAGTGAATCCCACCAAAATTAGCCCTTGCTTGCCAAGAAACGAGCAGAATTCCACATTATGTTAGGGCATTAGTAAAAAACAGACAGATCAACTGCTTCACACTATCTTTTCTGCTGATTTTAACCTTTTTTTTTTCCTGCTTCTAATTCCCAGGGAGATTGGCAAGGAGCTTGCGAAGAGGCCAAACCTGGCTGTTGTGACGGGAGGATTTTTTGGTGCACCTGATGTTGTAGCAAGGATGTTTCATGAATGCCGAGTAAACAATGGTCACACTGACCCTCGAGTCTTCCACATACTGCCAAAGCGTGATGACAAGGTTGAATATTGATTAGTTGAAGTTTATTTTCACAAAACTAACTTTAGCTCATCTTTTTCAGATTTTCACTGGGAAAGTACAGCAAAACAGTGATGGTTCTTTCGCTGCAGTGAACTATGGGCGAAACTTGTTCCTTGGGAATTCAGTTAAAGAGCGTGAAAGTGCAGTGGCACGCGCTTTCGACACCTGCATTGTGGTAGAAGGTGAGGCAGCATGCATCAGAGTGACAAGAGTAGTGTGCACCTAGCACAGGCTCTTACACCTGCTATTTAAACAAAAGTACAGACACGGTATTCCACACTTACTCAGAATGTCAACACTAGTATATACTATAACGTGGTGCTCAAATCATCAACACTAGTCCTCAACAAACCGCAGTCAAACTTCATTATGTTAAACTCTGGAGAAAGACAGAGGAACTTAGCATTATAGAAAAACTAACAGATTCTGCAAAACTGCACAAAGCTCTTGCCAGCATCTTCTAAAGGCGGCCTTATACAGTTGTAGCACCTTACACTCTTCTTTGCAATGATACGTTGATGGAAGGCACTGAAGAAATCACGGAGAAACTTCTATTGTGTACTTTTGCAAAAAAAATAAAAAATAAGAGGTTCACATCACAGACTGGATGAGCATGCATCATGGGATTTTCCTGCTGTGGATTAGTCGGCATGCAACTTGACACAAAGCTCTTCACTACACTTTCCAACCTTAGTCTGCATTGTTAATATTACTTTATTCTTCATTGTTACATTGTTGCTACAGGCTGACTGCAAAACCCAATATTTGGTCTGGCTGACATGGCAGACCCAATATAGCATTTAAGCAAGGGAACGTTCATCGAATTGAAGGTGCTCTCAAACCACGAATTTACTCCATCTACCAGGTCACTCATGCGTTCTCAGTTGCTGTACAGAAACATTCAGTGTTGTTTCCAAACAGTTGAGTTCAAGCGACATGGGTAGAAGTGCCAGAGTTATTAATGTGTTGAGTTGGGCTTGTTGGTACATTCATCGGGCGCACTACAGCACTGAAAACGCACAATGAACAGAACAAAAATGATGATGACAAGTGCTGTTGTCATTTGTGTTCCATCTATCCTATTTCGTGCGCTGTAGTGCACCTGAATAATGTACCAACAAGCCCAATTTGCCACATTATTCAAGTTCATTTCCAGTACTAAATGCTCTTTCTTAGTCTAAAGCTAATCGTCGTCGTCGTTTGTGTTCCGTCATTTGTGCGTTTTCTGCTCTGTAGTCACACAGTTATCCTTTGCCAACTGGTTTGAACATTATCCAAGACAGGTTGCAGATGTTTCAATGTCTGAACATTTTCCAAGCTGTAACCCAATGATGTTCTTAAACTCTCACACTGCGGTCTTAACAAGTATCAATATTTCAGAAGCTTTTTAACATGAGATAAACATATTGAAGTTTGACTGCAGCAACTTTTTTGTCATTAATACACCCTTGCTGAAAAACTGTTAGGAGTTATGAGTCCTAGCCTGCTCAATACATAAATAACCATTAATAAGGCAGTAAAGTATCGTTACCATCCTGTTATTGTAGAAGTTTTATGAAACAGACATGGGAAACAGGAGATACAACAGTGGTACAATGCTTGCGTTTCAGGTGGTCCTTGTGCAGCTCACGAGGTTGAACAATTCGTCTGGAGTGATCACTTTGTTGTGCCTGTAGTCTCGACTGGAGGAGCAGCTGGTGGTCAGTTTGGCGTGCCTCTCAAGATCTTAGAGGTGAGAGTAGTACGAAATGCTTTATGCAAAGAGTGACTTCTAACCTATGTCTGGTATTTTTTCCCTTTTTTCTGGCTGCACTTTTTCTTTAGACTCCCCATGGCATCACTGAAGAGAAGTGGTCTGTCCTGTCTGAGAAAGAAGCAACACCGACTGAAGTGGCCAAGGCTGTTGTGGATATTGTTCTGCAACTCAAGCGAGCCATGATTTCCCACACTAAATCACACTTGGTGCGTAACAAGTACAAAAAGCTCAAGAAGCGCAACAAACATGGCCGGGAACCAGTTGAGCAGCAGACAACAGATTCTTCACACACCACAGACTCTGGTCCCACTCCAAGTGTCAAGCCAACAGTGTCTTTTCGCAACATATCCCACTGGCAAAGAATACTGAACTACTTTCGCAAGAAGTCTACTTCCTAGCATTGCTTTCCAAAGGTCATCCATCGTATAAGTGGGGACACTCCAAAGAACAAACTATTCTAGTTGCACTTGGACAGCCTTGATGCCATGTCTAGGCAGACTGGTGTGCAAGTCATCGTGTGCATTTTAGTTTCCTGGAAAGTCACTGACTTCCATTCACTGAGAATGAAAGTGAATTTCTGTGTTGTACAATGGCACTTCAACAGCCTGCATGCAAGCCTCATCACATCTTGTAGTAATTATCATACATCACATCTTAGCCATGAGCACAGCAAATTTGTTTTGTGCAGCCAAAACTTAACTTTATTGAGGTATTAGAGATAGCACATGTCATCCCATCAACAACTCAGCAGGTGCTGCCTCTTTTTTTTTTCCCCTCTTAAAGGCCAACATGTTATCACAGTTTGAACCAACTTGCAAGCAGATGTGACCTGCCCAGCAAGCTACGCCAAACGCTGAACAGCATTTATATATATAGCCTGAGTACAGAACTGATCACAATGATTGTACATAGTGTTGTCTACACATGAATAAACTATCACCTCTGCTGAACCACTCTCACTGGTTGGCATGCAGCAGAAAGAGCCCAGTGTAGAAATTAAGCCAACCCACGCTATGTACATGTGTGCCCAAACAGTCTCTTTCCTTGCTGAGGCTCACGTCAGCTTGAGGCGTTGGCTGAAGTCCTTCTGTTGCTGCTCCTTCCACTCCTGCTTGACATAGGTGCGCTTGAGCAAGCCATCCCAGTTAAGGTCGAGAAGGCCACCCTGCTCGGCAATCTTAGACTTGACTCTGTTGGCAAACTCCACTGATGACTCATCATCCTGGAAAGAGCACGGAAGACTCATCTTGAAGGGGTGCTGACACAAACATATTGGCTTCTTTTTTTTTCTGCTACAGTGTGTTGCTGGAGGCCTGTTAGTCATAAAACGAAACATCGTTTGTTGCAGTGTGCAGCAGAAAATTAATTACAGGCTCCTCATTACCAACAAGTCCCAGTTTCAGTTTGAGAGACCTCCAAACACGACAAGCCACTGAGTGCAACTATCACAACCTAGCGTGTGCAATTTTCAACCATGTCAGCACCATAGGTGAGCGAACTCACTCATGACTCAACTCACTCAGACCGAGCAGTGAATCTGAGCGAGTCCGGCTGAAGAAAATTTTCGTTAGTCTGAGTGAGTGTGAAGTGCAGTATATATTTCTTGAGTGAGTCTGAGCGAGTTTCACTCTCTTTCGCTGCTTAAGGTCAGCACACAAAACTGTGACGCACTTCCACATAGTCCACATAAAAAGTCCTTTCGAACAGGAAACAGGACAGCAGGGTCGGAAAACAGAAAACTTCCAACGCGTGCGCCGCGGTCACAAACTCGCAAGCAACTGCCGAGTAATAGTCGGTTGGTGCAAACGTGGCGAAAGAAAAATGACGGCTACGACACCATCATAACTTGTTGCAGCAACGTCACACAAAGGAATTAAGAAAGGTCACCAAGGGTCACCTTTGGGGTGTCAACAGCGTGAGAGAGTCAACCATTCGAGCAAATTTCGAAATTCATTTAAAATATCTTCCAAGCTGTATTTGCTGCTATTTAGCAGCTAAGATATGCATGTTCCCAGGAATCGATCACACAGGCTATCTCGGCTGGTGTCAGTACCCCTTTAACACTGTCAGCATTCGACCACGGCATTGCATTATTACAAAAGAAAAAGGCAGCAACAGCTAAGTAGAATAGGCATATGTAATCATGACAGAGGCACAATCAACAACTATACAGAGCTTTAACCCAAAGTATGTGCCCTTTGACATTACTGCAATGCACTCAGGGTAATGAGAGATGCAATCAAATACATAGTAAGCATGCCACCGATCACATTCCCCACAGAGTTATAGCAGTACACACGAAGCTCACAAGGCGCTGTACTTCATTCATGTGTCTCAGAATAAAGCTCTGCATCATTATGGCAACCAGCCATAGATGAGAGATGCTGCAATACTATGAATTTCACTTGTGAAGCATTCAAATGTTTGTGTACTAGCAAATGAAATGTCTATTAAATTATTGTATTTGGTCAGTTGTTGACTTATTTCAAATACTCACACAAACTTAAATGCATGGGGTTTCAACATTTTTATTCACTCCTCAATACCTATTTTTAGCTAGGGTTTCAATCTACTGTGCTCAACAGTAATGTAATGTCATGTTGGCATATATCATTATTGTACACAAACTCAATGAGTTCATTTAAAATAAAGGGTCATGTGACAACATTTTATAGAAATTATGCAAACCGAGCTGGTACTTGGAACTGTCAAATTACAAAAGCTAGACATTTATTTACTTATTCATTTTTCAAGTCAACCAAAGCTAGATTCTATTTAATGGAACCTATTGCTGGTATTAACTGTGAAATGTGGTAAGCTGCACAATCTTACGTGATTTTATGACAAAATATCACAAATATGACAAATACTCACTTACAGTCTGCCAAGGGGACATGCAGTAAAAAAATCTAAAAGCTGTTCCAATTCACTCAATTACAGCAGAAATGTCTCGACGGCTACTAGATTAGAAGCTTTAATAAAGCAGCAAGGCGGCACAACACATGCAATAATGCATTGACAAAAAGTAATAGATCAAATCAAATTTCAAAACAAGCCTTTTACCATATTTACTTGATTCTACCGCGCCCTCGATTGTAACGCACACTCGGTTTTCACGACGAAAAAAAAGCTAAAACATCGAGGCCCGCACGGTCACACTATTCGGGAAAACGACTCTTTTCAGGAGCGTCTTCCGTTTAAATATGAGGTACGGGGGAAGCTTGTGCCTATCTGAGGTGCAACAAAGCATTGCCGTCACTCTTGTTTTACTGTGGCCCGATGTCAGCATGTGAACTTGCTTCGCCCCCTTCTTCTCGAGGGTTGTGGTGCCAGGAATGTCGAAGTAAAGAGGCATCTGATCAGCATTCCCGATTTGCCCAAACAGGTAGCCGTTGTTGTGCCGCAAGTTTAGGACGAACCTCTGAAAACTGTGAAGCTTTTCGTCGTACTCCTCCGGCAAGTTTTGGCGCATGCCCGTTCGCTTTCAGAGGGAAAAGCCTTTCCTCTTCATAAAGTTAGTTAGCCAGCACCTGCTCGCTTTGAACTGCCTCCGCGTTAGCCCTTTTTCTAAAGCTAACTGCATAGCCCGCACTTAGAGCAGTTCTGTCATCACGTGACGCTGTGCCGCTCGCTGCTCAAGCATATGAGTGGGCACGGCGAGACGACAGCGACCATGTTGCTGACCACGAAATTTTTCTTCGTTGTACAGGTTTCGCTGCTGACGGTCACAGGATTACCGAGCACGAATGACACGTGCGCGCCGCCGGTTGACACCATCTACCTTTCCGTGGCAGATCTGCATGTGCGGACGCCGATACTGACCTTCTGTATGGACGCTCCGACGCAGCGACAGTTGCGCATGTCCGTGACATCAGCGACCGAGGCTATAAAGCATCCACTGCAGCATTTCTTCGACAGTGGGCACGGCGAGACGACAGCGACCATGTTGCTGACCACGAAATTCTTCTTCGTTGTCTGACCACGAAATTCTTCTTCGTTGTACAGGTTTCGCTGCTGACGGTCACAGGATTACCGAGCACGAATGACACGTGCGCGCCGCCGGTTGACACCATCTACCTTTCCGTGGCAGATCTGCATGTGCGGACGCCGATACTGACCTTCTGTATGGACGCTCCGACGCAGCGACAGTTGCGCATGTCCGTGACATCAGCGACCGAGGCTATAAAGCATCCACTGCAGCATTTCTTCGACAGTGGGCACGGCGAGACGACAGCGACCATGTTGCTGACCACGAAATTCTTCTTCGTTGTACAGGTTAGCTACTCTGCTTCCAACATAAAAACTAGTGATGAAGTCATGTTAGTAGTTGTGCCGTGCCCAAGCACCTGTTTAAGTATTGCATATGAGTGCTATTGTGCATGCAAAATGTTACTCTGTGGTGACGTTGAGACAAACCCAGGACCCACGAACGCTGATTTATTACACAGTATTCTTCAGGGCCAAGCAGTTATGAAGGCTGAAATACTGCTCTTAAAATCGATGAACGAACAAATGATGTGCGACATGGACTTGCGATTCCAAGCAATTGAAGCCAAACTACAGGAATTTAAAGATAAATCACCGGAAGTTGCAGCTCTTGAATCCACTGCAGCTTCCTTTAAAACTGTGCTGTCATGGCAGAGCTCTAAGTTAACTGATCTCGAAGACCGAAGCCGTCGGGCAAACCTTATCATTCATGGTGTTCTCGAAAACACAAATGAAAATGACACCTGTCTTCGAACTGCTGTTGTAACCGATATATTCGAGAAAACATTGGGAGTGAAGTGCAAGTCCATAGCCCGCATTCACCGTCTTGGCCGCCAAGGTAGTCGTAGGCCTGTCATAGCTTACTTTCAAGATTATCAGGAGAAACAAGAAGTCTTAAAGAATTCAAATAAATTAAAGGGCTCCAAAATTTATGTACAAAATGATTATAGCCAGTGCACGCTGCGCAAGCGCCGCCTGCTTTGGGAAAGTACAAAAGCTGAACGCGACAGCAGGAAACGGGTTACACTTATTCACGACAAAATCAAAATTGATGGCAAACTTTTTGTCTGGGATGAAGCCAAAAATGTGCGTGTAGCCCTTAACCCGCAAGCTACAGGTTCTGATTGACCCACTCGACAGTGTGCGTCCAAAAGTTTGAGAGTGCTTAACGTAAACGCGCAAAGCCTATCAAATAAAGTTGACAAACTCGAGTACCTTCTACTCACCTACGACCCTCACATTACAATAATCACAGAAACCTGGCTGCACGAAGGTATAAATGATTCAGTATTAATTCCTCCGAGATATCAAATCTTCAGACGTGACCGGCCATCAAGAGGTGGTGGTGTAGCAATAGTTCTCAAAGATTGTATTAGTGCTCGGCCCCTTCAACAAATTCATGAGCACGAAAGTTTATTCCTTAAGGTAAGCTGCTGGGGCCATTACTTCACCGTATGTGCCATCTACAGACCACCCTCTTCAACACACGAATATCTGTCTAGACTATATGACCACATGTTCACGTTTAAAAATGATCGTCTGATTCTCGCAGGTGATTTTAACTTGCCCAATGTTGACTGGCGCGTTCCATACTCTGGCTCTGATGTAACGACGTTAAACCCTCTCGCTGACATTGCCTTGATGTGCGATCTTGTGCAGATTGTTAATGAGTGCACCAGAGAGGCTGGAAACACCCGTTCTACACTCGACCTAGTCTTTTTAAATTCCAATGTACGCAAATACACGGTCTCTATTGAAGATGGCATTTCCGACCATAAAGCAGTATTTTTATCCTTCGGTATTGGTGAAAACAAAGCACACCGACAAGAGACTAGACATGTCATTAAGGATTACTCGAAGGCGGATGACCAGGCCATTTTGGATTATCTGTGGTTCTTATGTGATAATCTTTCTGATGATGTGTCGATAGCCTGGAACCAAATAAAAACTGCGATACATTACTGCACTGATAAGTTTGTGCCAAGCAAACGGGTTAGGAAAAACCGAAATAACCCATGGATTACTAGAGATATTATACATTTGCACCGCAAGCTAAAACGAGCTAGAAAAAAGAAAAAAATACCCTGCAGACTTATCTCGTTGAAGGCCCAGCTTGCAACTCGGCTAAGCGAAGCTAAGGCAAGACACTTCAACCACTCGCTTCCTAACTTTTTGAAAACTAACCCGGATAGATTCTGGCGGTACTTGAGCGATGCGCACAAAACACCAACCGAGATATCAGTAAATGGTTGTATTGTTAACGATCCAGTCAAAATTGCAAACCAATTCAATCAGTATTTTCACTCGGTATTCACTCGGGGAGATCATGCTGACACAAACATTATTTCTCTGTCTACTATATCTGCCGATTTCATAACTGTCGAAGGTGTCCTTTCACTGTTACTGAATGTTAAGACTAAATCTTCCGATGGTCCCGACGGCATACCTAATGCATTTTTGCAACGTTACGCCGAACCTATCGCGCATGTCTTCACCCATATTTTTCGTCTTTCGCTTCATAATTCAATTCTTCCCGATGATTGGCGAACGGCACGTGTTATTCCCGTATTTAAAAAAGGTGATCGCCTAAATGTTGAAAACTACCGGCCAATTTCATTAACTTCCTGTCCTTGTAAACTTCTTGAGCATATCATCGCGCATTACATAATGTCATTTCTTGAAGAAAACAGTATTTTGACTCCTTTCCAGCATGGTTTTAGGAAGGGCCTCTCGACTAACACTCAACTTGTCACCACAATTCACGACTTCGCTATGGCAATTGATAAGGGCGACCAAATAGACGCCATCTTCTTAGATTTTAGAAAAGCTTTCGACTGTGTTTGCCACAGTAAATTACTCACCAAACTTTCAAACATTGGCCTACCCATTACTGTAATTATTTGGATCCGCTCCTACCTTACCAGCCGCAAACAGTTTGTCCAGGTCCAGGGCTGCTGCTCTGGGGTTCTACCTGTAACCTCGGGAGTTCCACAAGGCAGTGTCCTTGGCCCTGTCTTGTTTCTCATCTTTATCAATGACATTGTTTCATCAGTTGACACCTCCGCCATAAGCTTAAAGCTTTTTGCAGATGACTGCATTCTTTACAAGCCAATTAAAAGTGAAAGAGACCAAGAGTGCTTGCAGAACAACCTAAATTCTCTCTCCGATTGGTGCCATGCCTGGTCGATGGAGTTAAACATTAGTAAATCGGTCTATATGCGTATCTCAAATAAAATTACCCCTTTTGCATCACGCTACACCTTAAATAATAATCCGTTGATCGAAGTGAGCAATTTTAAATACTTGGGAGTCAATATTACCAATCGACTGTCGTGGAGTAACCACATTGACGACACTTGTTCCTCCGCCTCTAGAAAACTAGGGTTTCTTAGACACAAACTAAAAAACGCGCCAACTCAGATCAAACTTCTTGCATATAATACATTTATTCGACCCCGTCTAGAATACGCATGCGTAGCCTGGGACCCGTATTTTAAAAAGGATGTTTATAAACTTGAAATGGTCCAGAGGAGAGCGGTAAGATTCATCTATAATGCCTATCACAATCTTGATTCTCCTTCATCACTTATGGCTACTAACAACATTCCGCTCTTGAAACAGCGTAGAACTATCGCCAGACTCAAGTTTCTTTTCCTGCTTCGTAATCATCAGTTTAATATTGATCCCAGTAAATACATCTCTCCCTCTTTCCAGGAAAACCAGGCATGCTCACAATCATGATCTGACACCTTACTTTGCACGTACTAACCTTTTCAAACATTCCTTCTTTCCTAGAACCATTAGCGAATGGAATGCACTGCCTTCAAATGTTTTCCCTGAACGTGGCATTCCCGACTTTGAAAACTACATGCATCTTTTGTGTAATCAACACTGTTGATATTTCAATGCTAGATTAGCTCATCTTATTATTTCAACTGTGTAGCTTTACTTTTTGAGCTGGAAACTGTTTCTAGAAGTTTGTTCGCTTTTTTTCTAGATATGTATAACTAAGCATCCTATTTGGTATGACTTGTTTTTCAGTAGCTTTGTGTATTCTAACTTGCTGTATAACTTGTTCGCTTTTTTCGCTATGCTCCCTTTTTGTGCCCCTCCTGCTTGGTCTACGGACTGCAGTATGTAATAAATAAATAAATAAATATACTCGGCGAGCAGCTCGTCAATTTGCGGAAACCGACCCTGCTGTGGTCCACTGAAGCCTTTGCGTGAATCTTTGCTGTCGACAATGTTGTGCTTTTGTTTCCGCCAGTCCCGCACGCACGTTTTGGGAACTCCGAACGACCGCGATGCGGCCCGATTTCCGTCTGTTTTGGCACACGCGATGACTTTTCTTTTAAAAGTGGCATCGTGGTGCACTCGTCGAGTTTTTGGAGTCGGCCCTTCCATGCCGTCGATGCTAATGAACTACAAGATGACGAACTCCTCAGCACACGTACGAAGTGCCGCACATGGGAAACACACAGGCAGAAATGGCCGATGCGCCATGCCGAAGCACGTAGGGGGCGGCCATTTTGGACATGCCGATGGCAATAGAATGACTGTATTCATTTTTTTTTTTCGCACTCGATTTTAACGCGCATGCAATTTATGAACTCGCTTAACCGGAAAAAAGGTGCACGCTAGATTCGAGTAATTACGGTAAATATTCACAAAAATGTTTGACGTAAGTGCAATACAGGCAAATATATGTTGTTTACTTCAATCACAATATTCCATTATTACTTTCTTCTATGATTTTAGATTAAATAACACTTATAAAATGTGCCATTTTGATGTCATTTTTCAGCATTAATAACATGGAAGGGCCACATGCAGACACAACTTTGCTACTGCAGTCATCAGTGTAGCCAATACATGCAAACTCAAGTTCGATTGCTGGTAACAGTCTATTAGCATGCATGGGCTTCGGAAAACAACGTTTGTTCTACTCGTCACTAAATCTTCTAGTATTCCAGGAAATGTTCAGCCAATAATTCTGGATTGCTAATGAATTAAAAATAACTATATTAAAAAGTTCAGTCAAGACAGACGGGTGAGAATACGGTTACCAAAATGCCTGAACTGAACATACACAGCCAGACTTGCTAGGGAAAGATGAGCATGACACATGCAATCATTCTAATGTGGAGAGTTCATTTCAATCAAAGAAAAAGACACAATAGTGTCAGGCCACTCAGGCCACCTAAAAAAAAACACTTTAACAAATTTTTTTCAGTGTAACTTGCTGCAATGAGCACATGAAACATTTGTTACTTATGCTAGTCACTACTTACTCAATCACTTAGCAGAACAAAGAAAAAATTATAGTGAGCCTGCACTAATATTGCCTTGTGCCTTGAATTCTGACTAACTATAACTTAAGCTGCATTTAAAAGCACTTGTTCAATACATGCCAATAATGCTACACAACCTTAATAAAGGGACACTAAAGTCCACTATTAAGTCGACGTTATTGATTGTTAAATAGCGATCTAGAAACCTTGTAGTGTTACTTTTGTGGCAAAGAATGGCTTATTTTGAAAAAAAAAAAAAAAAAGAAATCGTGTTTTAGTGGTCCGTATTGGGTCAGTTAACTTCTAATTACCCACCTCGATCGAACGTCTGATGTCACTGTTGCCCTGCACAACGTTGCCCGGCTTTAATGTGTGGCCGCCGACACTATAGTAGCAGCAGAGGGAAAGTAGTGGGAGCCACAGCAGCAACAACGGCCACTAAACATTTAGCCATGGCCTTCAAAATTGCAGGCGTCCCTGGTTCAACTGGGCCCCGCCACATAGCACGACCTGTCCAGTTTAACCACCCGAAAATTGAATTTTTGAACCACTCGCGCCATTCCCTATAGTAACGTCCGGCGGTTCTTTTTTCCGTGAATCAAACAGAAACGAACAAGCAGCGTTTTATTAGGTCTCTTGATGCATGGAAGGTTCTTTATCTAATGCAGCTAGATCGATTAGTAGTAAGATTATTTGTAGGGGGCTCGTCTGATGTCATCGGGATCATTTTGAGAATGTGCTGCTGCGGCACATGTATTCCTGTGCATTTACCTTAATTTCTCGTTAAGTAGGGCACTGCTGTTGATAATAAATTCGTTTTAGACATCATACATTGAGCTTTCACTCTGATGTAAATTGTTATTTGACTTTAGTGACCCTTTAAATGTCCTGGCATGCTTTGTGTACATTCCAAAATACAGGTCAACCTGCAGACTTAAGTTTTTCTTCCCACAAGCAGTAAAGCACTAGGCAATGCCTCAGCTACACTTCCAGATTTAGCCAACTTTCTGCATTTAGAAAGTATTGGGAACTTATGAACATGTGGCACATGCTAATGCCTATGTTTAAGTAAAGTAAAATTAATCACTCTGCACGTGAACTGGCAAGAAGACTTTCATAAAACTTTGTGGTTGATGGTTGTGCTGGCAAATACTATGTACTTACTTTTTTCTTCATGGGTGGCAAGTACCACACATCGCATACTATGGCCCACGATGACATCATCATAGCCAGGTAATGGATGTAGTTCTGCTTGCTGCTGTTCCAAAAGGCATCTCCAAATCGTGCATCATACTTGATAGCCGCTGGGTAGATGGTGCCGCCAACTTCAAAGCTGCCCTTCTTGAACTGCATTACTGATGTGTTGTTGATGCATGTACCTACACCAGGAAAAGTTATATACCATGTTCATTCACTGCCACCATACAGTACTTAATTGGCCAGCCTCCTTCTGCACACAACTCCTATCAGGGGCAACACAAAAGTGCTCTCAGAAATGTAGCTGGCTCTTCACTCAATACTCGAGACCCAAGTGCTGAAGTGAGTACACATGCGTGACAAGAACGGAAGAAAACTATAAGGTCACCTGGGCAATTTTCATGATGAGTAAATGCGGAAGCATTGCTTGCCTCCGAGTCTTGCAGAATTCAGGGCTGCTGAAAAATCTTGCCGAGTTTAGTGCTGGTGTGAAATGCTTCCGAGAGCAATCATTCTGCTTATGAGGCAGCAACAGCGCAAAATAACAAACTGACCATGTTGCAATCTCTCAGCTGAGTTTTATTTGCTGAGCTTTTGTTAAAGGGACACAAAAGAGCAAAACGATTTTTCGTGTATTAGTAAAGGAAAATTTCACAATCTCAAAAACACCACTCTTACCAATACGTGACGCTTGGTAAACGAGAAAACGAGTGAAAAAGAAAATGAGGGTAGAGACCCCACCGTGAGATTCCCGCACCAAATACCGAGACGTAGTAAATTTTGAAGGCTTCTACTGGCCAATATGGTTGATTGGGCGGGTTGGTGATACACAATTGTTTTGAAATGAGAGCGCACTACTTAGACGTGGACAGAAAGACAGGGACAAGTGCTTGTCCTCGTCTTTCTGTCCGCGTCTCAGTAGTGCGCTCTCATTTCAAAACAAGCTTCTACTGGGTCCTACATAGCTTCTACTTGATAATAAAAATGAAGTGCATTATCATCTGTGGGTGCCATAGAGCTAGCAGATGAAGTTTCGAAAAATTTCATCGAGCCAATGTTGTGAAAATACAAAAATACAGTTTGAAGTGTGTTAGGTCATGCACTGAAATCTCTGCATAAAATTTAGATATGAAACATCAACCTTGATTTTCTCCACTAATAATGAGCTTATGACAGTGAAACTTATGGTATTAGAGTTGTAGAATGCAGTTTATTAATATAAACTAAGTCATTGTTCCTCTTTAGTGTCCCGATAAAGCAGTGCTCTCATCAGGGCAGAGAAAGAACAATAAACACACAATGCTTTGAGCATCTTTTTTCGACACCATTCAACTTAAGATCACAAAGACTCTGTAAGCAGTTTACTGTAAGCAGTACTGCTTCCGACATGCACCTTTTAGTGAATGACTTGCTAAGCAAAGCCCAAGTGTGTCTATTAGCTCAGCAACATTAATTACTTCAGCTAGCTCCACAGTGGTGCAATGTAATGTTTGAACAGCAGTTAACATATTCAGCTGCAAAGTGGTAGCAGTCGCGGTGGGGCACAGGATTGAATCTCTATCATGGCTACTTTTTCCTTAGTTAGATTAAGACTATGTCACTTATATGCAGTTTTTTTTGCTATAGCTTTCTGATGATGACAGGGTCGCGCAAAGAGCCGTTCAATGCTTTAGCACCGAAAAAGAAAAAAGTACACGAAACGCAAGGCCATCTATTTACCACTTGTATGTGCCTTAGTACAGAGATGGATGGCTTACTGATGCACTTCACAGTGTTCTTGGAAATGCGACATGCTTCTGAGATTACCCTTTTGTTCATAATACTGTACTATCGCGAGCACTATGATTTCGAACCCCTACATCGGCTGATTTGCAGCGGCCGTTGTCAGAAGCAAAGTGGAAAGGGAGGCGTTCTTCTGGTGTCTGTTGACACTCCCGCCTAAGCATCATTGCTGCAAAACGGCGGCTCAGTGCTTGTTAGTGGCAGCCAGCAATAATATGAACTCGCATTACGTGCACAGTCACACTGAATCACCCATGTAGGCTGTAGCTGCTGAGATATCAGCTGTGGCGTAGGCTGCCATGATGTCATGCCTGTATTATATGTAGGCAGTGTTGGATGCACATTTCGGTGCACATCTTTCACTTAATATGTCTTTTGTGCATTTTTCTTCGTGTTATCCTCGCTAGCAATGATCTGCCGTTTGCCCATAACGCTAGCGAAGTGGGAGTGTTAACAGACAGTGGAAGAGCAAGCCTCCTCTCCCATCCGGTTATAACGCATATCACATTATCTTGGTTTTGATGCTACTTGCCACGTGCTCGCATGTTCGAGCTCATATTGCTCATGATAGTACCTGGAAGGTAAGTGAACATCAAACTGAAAAAACGCGAAAGAAGAATAAAAAAATGATCGATTCTCAAACACTAGTGCACTGCACGGAAGGTTGGTCGGTTAGTGATTGCAGCTAGTGTTTAGTCGCACGATAATCTTGAAGGAGTACCGACATCAATTTTTCAAAATTTCTATAGTGTTGCTCTAAATGAAAGTACTAGTGTAGAGAAATGTAAAACGAGTATTGCGGTGCCTGGGAATTCATGGAATATACTTTAATTAGTGCCACCATAAAAACGCCCTTTCGGTTTCGAGAGCGAGGGAGTGGCTTCTTGGTGACATGTCATAGCAGTGCGACATTACAGGGAGACAGCAACCGCCAACATACTAACGGCAAATCTATCATCTGCTTGTAGTGCACATATACAACGATGACTGAATTGTCGTCCAGTGACCCTGACATTGGTTTCTACGATTTAGGTGACATGCAAGACAGAGCTCGCAAGCTAAAGAACTGTCTGGACTCGTCGAGATCATGTCCATTGCAGTGGAGCTGGCTTTCAGAAGTTGGGTAGCAAAAACTTAAATATCAAAATAAAATATCTTATACATGTTGTCTGGCTCCGGTTTTGTGTGTAGCGTTGACACTGCATACCAAAAAAAACAAAAAAATATGTCTGTTTTTATGATGTCTTCGAATCGTGTCAGTACTCTAAGCCTGCATTGCACGCTAAGAAATTTGCGGCAACTGTCGTGGAGATCAAGTAGCACTCGGATACATGAACACAGCTTTCTTTCACAAGCACTGCCTTTGCACAGTGTTGGTTGTGGAAAGTCTTTGTTACCGGCAGGTTTTGTTGCTCCAAACTTCATAATTTTGGCCGTTTGAGTAGCAGGTCTCATCAGCCTTACACTTCAGCGCTTGATTTTCATTAGGCTTGCGTGAATAATCAAACAACTACTCGCATAGTATTCAAATTCACTTCGATTCGAAATGAAACTATTGAAAATTTCTTAGTGTTTCAAATGACAAATAAGTGTATATTAACATAGGTGAATCGAATTGGTGTATATTAGTCCTCATGTAACACCCTCTCTGTAAAACTGCTTTCACTGAAGTGTGGCGGTGCTATGCCGTGAATACACCTTTCCAAGAGAAATTCGCACTGCCGCTGTAGCAAATAAAGAAAGAATGGGCGGCAGGCACGAGCATGAGCACGAGTCGCAGGCATTGGCTCGCTCAGCTGTTTCTTTGACCTTCGATGTAGCCAGGAAATTGGATCCGGTTCCCCTTCTTTTCTCACACTTCGTTCTGATGCTGAAACCCACCCGGTCGTCTGGCCCCCCGACTTTCGACAATACATCAACTCCGAGTCCAGCGTGGCTTCTACTGGACAGCCATCACCAATGCAATATAGATTCTCGACACCCTACTGGCAGACTCGATGACTCCTGCTCACAGGCTTCAGGAGCTCATCGACATCATTGTGGCGAAACACGCCCACCTCATCACCTTCGACAAGAATATTCAAGCTGCGCTACACGGTAATAACCTCAAAGCCGACTCTTCTTACTACAAGCGATGCAAGAAGTGCGAAAGTCCTCAGTATGACCTGCAGATGGCAAACAACTTGACCCCGAATTAATTTGGACATTGGACAACTTTCAGCGCAAGAGAAGCCACCGCTTCCCCAAAGCCCTCCATCGTCCCCATGTAACAATCCCACCTTTTCTATCGTTCGCATCTTGCTCGCCAATGTCCGCCTCAATTTCTGCCGCTGTGCACTCGAGCATTGCTGCCAGTTTGCCGGCCGCCAGAGAGTGTTGCAAATAAAGGAGAAAAAAGGGGCGGCGGGCAAGAGCACGAGTCCCGAGCGCTGGCTCGCTCAGTAGTTCCTTTGGCCTTCAATGTAGCCAGACAATCAGGTCCGGGTCCCCTTCGTTTCTCACAGCCGCGAAGTCCCACTTCAATGTAAATGCAATCATATTACCCTCACATCAATTCTTCCTTAAAAAGTCTAGAAGCTTTTTCACCAGCTTCAAAACCTTGTTCACCTGTTTATATGCTTTAAGTATAGTAAATTTGAAAATATAGCATATTTTACATTTATCAACTGCATTCTACCGAAAGTGAAATCTTACTACTAGTCAATGTTGGTTCCTTTTCTTTTCCTTGAACCAAAAATAACGCCATTTGTACATGCCTTGTTACAATTAAAAAATATATATATTGTGCAGGTTAGTTCACTCATGACCAATATGCTCATTTTGCTCTATAATATGTAATATATATATAATTCGATTTGAAGTGATTTTAATTAAATCACTATTCACTTTGAATTCACTTCAAACCTAAAGTTTACGAATTGCACAAGCCTTATTTTCATGCATTTGTACCTTGAATAAAGTAATTATACTATGCCCCTTGCAGCTGCATTTACTTCTGTTTAAGCTTTGTTCGAAGACAGGTCTTGTTGTGCGCTCATATTACTGGCCATATAAAACCAAAAAAAAAAAAGTTGGTTCAGATTGTTTCAAGCCTGCACCGGACTTTCAGCAGCTTCTGTTTTCTAAAGCCACAAAGCCTTCATGCATTGTCCAGAATAGTAACCAAAAGCAAATGTCCTGGTCAGCAATATGGCAGGCTTTTGAAGGAGCTAGCATCGTTTTTACTACATGCATTTAAATGGAAAAGTGGTGGTATTTGTTGTTGTAGGGGTACATTACATTACAACATAGGAAAAGGCCCAGCCATTCGAACACATTAGACCAGCGTCATAAAGAAGAAAAAAAAACTGCGAAACGAAGAAAAAAAAAATACATAGATTTTATACGAGAAGCACAATGTACCATAGCTCCCCCTCTTTGCAGCCTCATGTGGGTGCCATGTTTTGAATAAAATGAAAGAACAAAATGGCATGTACAAACAATTTGTCTGCATAGAATGGAAGCTTCATCAAGAACAATAAAAAGAAAAAAAATGGCACTTCAACACCACGAGCGCAGCGCTGCTTGCTGCGAGGGATGTCATCTGCCAGAAAAGCATCACCAGTCAAAGCTCATGTGAGCCAAGTTTCTTTCGACCAGCACACCCACACCTCAATGCTACTGCCCCTGTGATGTGCTCCTCACATCATTGCTCACAGCACTCTACCACTGGCAGGTGCTCTTATTATCAGCGAATTTTTTTTCAACTCCAGCCATATTGATCACAGCGGTGTCCAACTATTAAAAAAAAAAGTTCTGGGGCTTGCAATGCTGCCGTGCCATTCTTGATGCAAAATCGCTGTCATGTGAGATGGGGTTTACAAGGCAAAGTGGCATGAATAAAAGATGAAAGCATTATTAGAGGTTTAGAATTTTCATAAAGCACCATATTTGCACCAAAAATACCAAACTTTTTCAGAGGATTTCATGTACTAGTAACACTGGAAGCACTACCTCTTTGCTATCACCTGCCCTCAACATGTCCACATTTTTTCAAGAAAATGTTAGATCTTTCGTACAAAGATTCATGCAGTACACACATTAACGCGTTAGACAGAGTTGTAAATACACATTATCAGCCGTACCTTCCGGAAAAATGAGAATAGGCAGCTTTGTAGGATCTTCAACATGTTCTCGGAGTCTGCAAAGATGTAAATATGATTACTCTTTTGCCAAAACAAGCTCTCCACCACACGTGTTGCTTACCTCTTGGCAACTGCTTGCCTGTCCTTGATTTCAGCTCGTTCAAACCAAATGTGTGAGGCTGCCTTGTTCAAAGCTGTCTGGATAACACCAATGAACCCACCTTGGGTCTGGCCCACCTGAATTGCAAAGAAGATTCTCACTCAACAGATGACACTTTGTAGACACTATCACACTTCCTTACCAATGCATAACAATTGTCACTTGCCAGCATAGCCACATCAATAGGGGAAGTGTGATTTGCAACACAGATGCCACCAGGCTTGGCACGGTTTTCCCTGAAATAATCATTCTGCAGATTAGCATCACTTAGGCAAAAGGAGCATGCAGGGAATAAATCATAAAAGCTACTTTTATTTTCAGTCCGCTGCAGGTAATGAACAATCAAAACAGAAAAATAAAACCTCTGTATATGACTGACCTGCTAGGAGAAATGTTGGCTCACATTAAAGGAACGAAGGACCTCTTTTATTTCTTCAGATATTTAATCCAAATTAAGACCTCAAATGGCAATGTTCCTCAAGTTTGATGAACTGACTAATCCAAAGGAATGTATGCTATTCCCAAGCATTGAGAATCCAAAGTGTAAGCGAGCATTCCGTGATGATCAACTTCCAAGAGGTTTGTTTCAACAGATTTATTTGGACCAAGAATAAGTCAGGGAACAGGCTTATGTTTAGGATGACTAACACTCCAATAGATTTGATTTGAACCTGACATCCAAACATTCAAAATCATTTTTTGATTTGGCTTCAAATTCGAAAGTTGTTCTCACTTCAATGAGATGACAATTTAATAAATTAGCCACAAATTTTCAACACTAATAATAATGACAACTGTTAGGAATTAATGTCCCAACATCACAATAAGATTAAAGAGATGGCGCAGTGGAAGAATCCAGAAATTTCAACCACCAGGGGTTCTTGTAATGTGCACCTAATTTGAGCACACAAGCCTCGAGCCTTTTCACCTCCATTTGAAAATGTGGCCGCCACGGCCGCGATTCTCTTCCGCAACCTGCGGAAACTTGTCAACACTATCCATATTGTTAGTACATCATACAATCACTATCTTTCATTCTGCAAAGCTCTTGCTGCACTGACCTCCCTGCCCTATATAAATATAGCAATCACAATGTTTGCATTTATTCAGTGAGTTGCTAAATCGACATATTTTCATGTGATTACTGCAATTGCGGCTAATTTTTCAGGATAGCACTTCCCAGATATCACAAACTTTGTAATGTTCATTACATATGTCGACAAACTGACTCATGAATCTTTTTATCAGACTCGGATCGAGCTACAAGTCTGTGTCTGAGTGAGTCTGGGTGAGTAATATTCTGGTGAGCTTGAGTCCAAGTAAGTCAAGCGGTAGAAAATTTTTATGAGTGTGAGTGCGAGTGATTCCAGCTCAGGAAAACTTTGGTGAATAAGAGTCTGGCTGAGCTCAAAGCGCAACATATATTTCTTGACTGAGTCTGAGTGAGTTCCACTTTTCTTTGCCTGTGGTCTTATCTCCTCACCTTCAGCATTACTACAAGCCTTACCTGGGTTCACTTATACTCGCGTCTGCTCACTTTTATTTCAAAGCAGTATCATTTATGCACCATTTCAGTATTTATTGATCAGAGATGTAACTTACTTAGGGGAGTGCCTTGAACTCCCCCTACCCCCTCTCCAATTTTTTCACGGAAGGTTTTGATAAATGTAACTGGTGTTGTCATCTTGTTCAAGAAAAATGTCTTTACTGGTTTTTAACCACTCCTAACTTGTATTCGAAGGTACTATATCAAAACGCACCAAGAGGAGCACTGACTGTGTGAGATATTGCCATTAAAGAAGATTCTAGACTATTGGCATAGAAGCTAATTCTAGACTAACAGACTCATGAAACTACTCACTATGACTCACCGAGACTCAGATTGAGCCATGAGTCTAAGTCTGAGTGAGTTTGGGTGAGAAATGGTTAAGTGAGTTTGAATCTGAGCGAGTCTCGTTGAAACTTTTTGAGAGTGCAAGTCCGGCTCGAGAAAAATTTGGTAAATCCGAGTCCAGAAGATTCCAAAGCACAAAATATATTTCATGAGTGAGTGTAAGTGAGCCCCACAATTTTTGCTGACCTATGCTCACTACTGCCACAGCCTCACACTAGAGAAAAGGAGCAACACCATAGCTGTAAAATAGTTGGCAAACTTAAGGTACAGCAAGTATAGCAAGTTTCTTGTAAATATCAGTCAATCAAACGCTTATTTCACCATGAAGTACTGCATGGTCTTCAGGAATAAAAGATGCTCTAGAGGCAGCATGACTGGGTCCCTGAAGATCCTTACATTGACAACATATGACAATCACAGCACAAATTCCACATCAGATGATAATTACAACATACATGAGCAATGCCATAAAAGTTTGAGGAAATATCACATCAAGTAATAAATATACCAAATAAAGATACAGTAGGATTCGCGTCAGATGTTTAGTGCAGCATAAAAAACTTCATGGTTGATGATGATATGTAGGTTTTAATGGTGCAAGGGCCATACTTGGCCAAGAAGCACCATGAAAAAGATGAAAGAGTGGCTATGATTAGTGATTCAACGATGGTTTGTAAAGCACATCCACTATGAACTATAGTACTGCTACGTGGCTGTTAAGAGGCCTAAAATTCCACGCCTTTGGGCGGGTTAAAAAATAGAAATATTAAAATCATGAGAGTGATGCGAAATGCCTGTAGCAGTAATGGATGGTGCTGGTCAAGGTAACATAAAACTTGGATGAAAGTATATGGCAATAGCAGCACTGTCTCCTAAGCTCCCTTGAGCACAAGGGCCGCAGAGCAGGTGCTTTATTTAATGCAGCCACTGCAGCAATGACCTTTGTTGAGAGGTCGTGCTACAGGTCACCTTGAAATATAGTGTGAAAATGACGTAAATTTTTTTAAAACACAAATAATAATTCGTGCGTAAAAGGCGTATCTTTACCAGTGAACATGAAAGGATGTAAAGGAAACTCCTGTCGATATGGTAATAAAAAGTGTTTTTTCCTGATAGTATCTAACTCACTGCACTGCACGAGGATGTGCAGAACCGTGAGTGGTTGTCCACATTTTTCATGGATTTGTAATCTGGTAAGTTTTACTCGTGTGTACTAGCGTGATCTGGACACTGTTGGCCAGTTTCCATGTTTCGGCTTAATGTTTGTCTGTCCCATAGGCACTACCAATACACCCTGAGCTTTTGTTTGAGGAGGTGTTTCAGGTCCAGAACAGGGACAGCTATGGATGTATTGGCCACAGTGTTGCCTTGGGTGGAGGCAGCAAGTTGATCTGCCAACAAATTTCCCCCGATCTCACGGTGCCCTGGCACCCAGCACACTACTATGTGTTGTGTGTGTGTGTGTGTGTGTGTATATCTTGCATAAAAGAGTGTGAAGTGACACAAGGACAGGATCGTTATGTTTATGCAGAGATTTTAGAACTGTTATGATGCTCAACGAATCTGTGTATTTAACTGCCCATTGCGGTTTTAATTCCTTAATCTCTTTAACGGCCACAAGTATTGCATAAGCTTCTGTAGTAAAGATGCTTGAATTATGGTGCAGAATACCATAATCACAAAAGGATGGTACAACGGCAGCATAGGACACACCAGTGCAAGACTTCGAAGCATCCGTAAAGAATTCAGGACAGGAGTATTTGAGCTGCAATTTGAGAAAGTGTGTACATGCAATAGGAGCCTGTTTCGTTACTTCACCAAAGGATAAATCACAGTCAATGAGCTGCCACTACCACGGCGGCGGATATGCGACGGGAGGCATCAGACAGTTTTGAAAACGCGGTACCCTGGTTTCTTCAGCTAGACCTCTCCCGTGAAGTGAGAAGGGTCCTCTAATCGAGGGGCGGTTGTCAAGAAGGACACAACTAGACAAATTATGATTTGTGGAGTGTGTGAGGTGTTCCTTATGTTCATTTACCGTATTTACTCGATTCTACCGCGCCCTCGATTGTAACGCGCACCCGATTTCCACCGCGAAAAAACAAAAACAAACGTAAGACATCGATTGCAACGCGCACCCATTTTTCTCGCTGGCCCGCATGATCACACCACTCGAAAAAACGACTCCTTTCGGGAGCGTCTTCCATATAAATATGAGGTACGGGCGAAGCTTGCGCCCATCTGACGTGTAACAGAGCATTGCCGTCACTGTAGTTTTACCCTGGACCGATGTCAGCACGCGAACTTGCTTCACCCCCTTCTTCTCGACGGTTGTGGTGCCAGGCATGTCGAAGTAAAGAGGCGTCTGATCGGCATTCCCGATTTGCCCAAGCAGGTAGCCGTTGTTGCGCCGCAAGTTTAGGACGAACCTCTGAAAACTGTGAAGCTTTTCATCGTACTCCTCTGCAAAACTTTTCGCATATGCATGTTCCCCTTCGGAGGGAAAAGCCTTTCCTCTTCATACAGTTAGTTAGCCAGCACCTGCTCGCTTAAAACTGGCTCCGCATTAGACCTTTTTCTAAGACTAATTGCATAGCCCGCACTTGGAGCAGTTCTGTCGTCACGGGCCGCTGTGCCGCTCGCTGCTCAAGCACATACTCGCCGAGCAGCTCTTTAATTTGCGGAAACCGACCCTGTTGTGGTCCACTGAAGCCTTTGCGAGAAGCTTTGCTGTCGACAATCTTCTGCTTTTGTTTCCGCCGGTCCCGCACGCACGTTTCGGGAACTCCGAACGACCGCGATGCGACCCGATTTCCGTCCATTTCTGCACACGCGATGACTTTTCTTTTAAAAGCGGCATCGTGGTGCACTCGAGTTTTTGGAGTCCGCCTTTCCACGCCGTCGATGCTAATGCACTACTAGATGACGAACTCCTCAGCACACGTACGAAGTGCCGCACATGGGAAACACATAGGCAGAAATGGCCGACCCGCCATGCTGACGCACGTAGGGGGCGGCCATTTCAGATTTGCCGATGGCAATAGATTGACCGTAATTTTTTTGTTCGTACTCGATTCTAATGCGCATGCGATTTATGAACTCGCTAAACCGGAAAAAGGTGCGCGTTAGATTCGAGTAATTACGGTACTTTCAAATAATACAAAAATGACATAGAAGATCTCTGAAGGTGGAAAGACCACTCGTTCAACTCCACATAGAGGCTTTCTACAGGGCTTGTGCGAAATGCACCTGTAGAGAGGCGAATGCCCAGATGATAGACTAGATCGAGAATTTCCAATGCGCTCAGTGTGGCAGACTGGTAGACTACGACTCCATAGTCTA